CACACACACACACACACACACACACACACACACACACACACACACACGTATAATCCCATTACGTCCTGGATTTAAGTGCACCGGCGATAAATTTCGAGTGTACAACATCGGCCGAGTCCGAATGTTTGAAATTAATTTTAACCCCTCAACCCTATCCGCCGCCATCACGGTTCAAGGTTGTTTTAATCTAAATCGCGTTTATTTTTGTTGTTGTTTTAGGACCAGACCTACCCATCCCGGACCTATCGTGCACCTGAGCGATAATCCTGCAGATTCCAGCAAGGTAAATCCACACCTGCGTGTACGTATGTATGTATGTTTTTGTGCGAGCGTGTACTGTGTACAATTATAATAGTGTACACCGTGTTTTGTGTGCGTGCTCACGCAACACACATATGTACTTTATATAATTATTTTTTATTATTATTACGTAAATATATATTATAATACTCGTTGCGTATGTGTACTATTATATATTATCTCATACGATTTGTGGTGAATAATACAAGGTCTTCTGAAAAAATAAAAAAAAATAATCCTCAGACTATCTCAAATGTATATAAAACGTATTTACATATTTTTTTTATTAAAAATTGAATCTTCATTATATGTCATATTGTTAAATTATTAAATATCATGTCTTCCAATAAATTCTCGTGGGATGGTGTTGATCTTTACGTATTCATATCCGATTTTATTAAGTTGTCTACAAAATTAACTAGAGTCGTCAGTTATCTTCTTCATTATCTTTATATTAAATCATAGCCGTATTTGATGGTCCTATGACTTCAACTCCTGCACGAATTCGGTTTCGGAGGTACTTGAAAGAGTAATACACTCAATTATCTAAACGTTCGATTTAAAAAAAGTATTTCGACATTAATTTGATGACATATTTTTAACCTTTGTGGTGTACAATATAATTTTTGTTTCTAATAGTAAATTATTTAATTACATTATTTTTAATTCTATGGGGATTATTTCAAATTTTCATATTTTCTTGGATGATTTTACATTTTTGTGTAACTAGTACGTTGTCATAATGAGTTATCATGTTTAATCATATCCCGCTAATCGCCGTGAGCGACATTTAAGATTATTATAATTATTTATGTCGTGGCTATCAGGATTTTTATATTTGAGTATTATCACGTTGTCGGTTTATGTAATGATCTAGGGCAGTGGTGCTCAACCTTTTTTCCTCGGTGGACCACTTTGGTAAACAATTATCTTACACCGTTTGGGTGAATCGACCCAAAATATAGTCTGTTTCGGCGAATAAATGTATACTGTTTGGTCTAGGATTTTCAACTAAAAATACCGTTTGGATGGTATAAAAATGCTTATAATATACACTCAACAATTAATTAAACAAAATATATATAAAATATAAATTATTAACAATAAGTTATATTTAAAAAAAATATTGTTATGAATATTGTTAATATTATAATATATATATTATATAACTAACCTCGTATATAAGTAGTTAGTAATCTACAGTCAAAAAATTATAAATACAATAACATATAATTAGTATATTTTAAAGTAATCTATTGGCTTTGTATGAAAATGCTCATTATGACATTCAACAATTAATTGAAAAAGATCATATAAAATATAAATAATTAATAAAAAGTTCTGTTTAAAAAAATATTGATGTGCATATTAATAATATTATTATTTATAAGTAGGAAATAATATATAGTCAAAAAATTAAAATAATAAAATAAAATTACAGATAATATAATTATTAGTAGTTTTTAAAGCAATCTATTGGCCTGATATTTTAAACCTAAACATTTTATGTACTTATTCTAATTGGTTAATAACCCCTCTTTTGTATTTATTCCATGTTTCTTGTATAAACTCTTTATTTTTTATTAGCAATAATACCATCCGTATCTGTCATCAGATTTTTACCTCGAACAGGTAAAAATAATTTCACTCGCCCAAACGGGCTATTATTTTTTTGGTCAAATTTATTACCTTCGCCCAAACGACCACCACCCAACTTAGAATTACTAATTATAGTAGTACGAATAATGTCAATAGTAATCTAATAATATAATTTTGTTACAATTAGTAGGTATACGATTTACATATAGATACATGTTGGACTTATTTTCATCTTTTTGAAAGTGCCAAAAATAAAATGAATAAAAAACTGTATTTTATTATAATTTTACTTTCTTTTAATATTTTTATTTATTTATTTATTTATTTTTTTTTTTTTTGTTATTTTTTTTTATTCGCGGGCCGAGGGTTGGGCAATACTGATTTTTGGGCTTATAGATGTGTGGAGATATTATGATAATAAGCTTTAAAAGATAAGATAATTACTTCGGAGATTAAAGCGTTGGAACACAATAGCATTGAACACAATGTGAATTCATTAACATATGTGGGATTACAAAACCCTCCGAAACCCTTTTTTCTTCTACCATTCAATATTGGTGGGACATTGAATTATGTATAAAGATGTGTATAATGATATAGAAGTTATAATAAATGAATTAAATAAATCTGTGTAACAATAATAATGCTTTCATTTTTCATTATATTTTATACTGTTCACGATTAAGATATAAGATATTCGTTTAAACAATTTTTTATTATTAGGCTTATATATTTACATACCATATATGTACATAATTATACATGTTATTTCCTGTTGAGGTTATTATACAATCGTGGAAACATTTTGATAATTTAAATCGTAATAAAAATAAAGAATTAAAAAAATTATCTGGTTAAATTATTGAACTGTTAATTAAATGATAGACTAGTAGGTTGTGAATCTGTCTTTTGTAATAGTAAAAAAACTAACCAATAACTATAGAATCTCGCGTATGCTACTGTTTATATTTATTGACTACGTTGTACGCGTATCAATCGATACACGCCCCCGGTAATGCCACCACCGCCTTATCCCCGAGTATGTGGTGAGGAGGCTATCATGTACTATTATTGCTGCCGCACTTGCAACGCGCACTATACATGACGTATGCTTCGTATGAAATGCCGTGACTACAAACTATTCACAATCGTTTTCAAGTCCCTTCGACTCCTGTTGACGGTTTGTGTATCATTGGTAAATACGGGTAAAATGACGGAAAGTCGACGACGAGTTTGAAATTTGACATCTATGATTTTTTCATAATTACATGAATACTTTCAACAATTCGAGAAATAACTTATGCTATACATCCATATTGATTCGATTAAAAGCCCGAGTGGTTAAGGTGCACGTTAAAGTATTGTAAGATTATGTATTATGAGTGCACGTGTATTGGTGTGTGTGCGATAAAAAAATTGTGTAAAGCAATATTCGAGTTAGTTTTTTTTTTCTTGTACATTAATTATTTCCTTCCAAAGTTCATAGGATTTTACTGGATTTTTTTTTATTATTGCGAATAACATATAATTTTAATTACTCATTATATTTAACACTTATCCACTTTTTATTTACACTATATTTTTGACGTAAGACTTAATATGTGTTTGTGTGTATATTGCTAATATATTGTAACCTGTATCTTTTAATGATCGAAAACTCAAGCCAAGAGAAAACATAATTGTACAATTCTATAAATATCTATCTGTCTATTGATTAGGTTTTGATAACATTTTTCTCAATAGTGTAAAATATTTTTTTTAACCAGTAAATTATTCATCATCTCTTTTGAAAATTTAACTTTTATTACTTGCTTTGAAACAGAGAAAATTATATTTTATTGTAACATCACGAAATGCATATTTTATAAATAAATTTAAAAGAATTTTTTTTTATTATTTCGTTTATACTTGAGGTCCTTCTAAATGTATTTTAATAACGGCGTTAGTGGTTACAATAAGACGTCTTAAAGAAGCTTAAAAATACAAATATCAATAATGGATCTGATCAACGCGTGAGCGATAGAATACAAATATATCGAGTACATTTTGTAATATGTACCAGAAAGTGGTAGAGTTTTATAATTATAGTATTTTTTTTTCGCATACAAACCACCTACATTTATAAACCACTTAGAGTTTTTTTTTCAGAAGTTGATGTTTCTTTTTGGGTTGATTTGGATTATATTTTTATTGAAATTTATTCATCGTAATCTGATGTTTTTGGTTTTTTAAACTGATAGCTGCCAGCAGATATAATCATTATCAATTCAATATACTTGTATAATATATTGTATTACGAGTATATTATGTAATCTATAAAATTTTGGTATTTCTATACGGTACCCAAATTTTTTTCATCACAATAAACAAAATAAGGTTAGTGAAGTAAAAAATAAAAAGATAATCAACAGTTTTTCAAAAACCATCGAAAATAACATATGATATTTAATATTTCTTGTATATCATATGATATAATGTAGTATTTGTTATTATACCTAATTATAATCGTATATAATTATGCAACTACTCTCATTCAATCTTTGTAAATACCAATTATGTAAATGTAATATATCTGTTCAAACTATTTGTTAGCTGCTCATTGGCTTCGAGACTGGTCTAATGGTGTTATGGGACCTGAAAACAAAGAAACCCGAATGCCGCTGGCAATGGGGTGATTCTCTCAAATCTATAGATTGGCACTTTGAAGGCAAGCAGTTCACGTGCAGTCACGGCGATGGGAGTCTAACCACATGGAATGTCAAGCCGTCTTTGAAACCAGCTAACATAATATACCCTCATGGTAAATATTGATCAGGCTAATATCCATTAAGTTAATTGATAATATCCTACCTTTTTCGTTTGAAATCAATAATTGTTTATATTATAAAAATCATTCCTAGTTAATGGCACGTTTTGATTATTCCCAAATTTAATTTAAAATAATGTAGGTAGGTACAATGTAGCATTTAGCTACCACTATGTAGAGTTTCATACAATATGATCAATACCAGGATTATTTTTTTGTATAACACGTAAAGTACATTATGTTTATTTATTACATAATATTAAAATATTAAGTATAAAAATGTAAATAGTAAGTCTATCACAAACCACATCATTTGAATTTGTATAAAATCTTTTTGACCCAAAATACAGAAGTAAATCTAGAAGTTTTTATCCGAATTTCAATCTACCAATAATTTAAATTCATATTTTTATATAACTATTAATTTGATAATATTATAACACACCACAAAAATATTTTATGTTCGTACTTATCAAGAGATGAAATCAATTTCCAGTTATACTTAAATGCATTTAATAACTAAATATTTAATACTTATTATTGGTTACTTTTAAATTTAAAATGTCAATTTTGTTTTCACTTTTTCACTTCTTATTTAATATTAAAAAAAAAAAAAAAAAAAAAAAAAACTATTGATCGGATAAACCTTATTTTAGTTCTTACACCGGGCATCTAGCCCAACTTAAAATTATTTATGCTGAGTTTTGATTACTGTTACTTTTAGTTACACAAATAAACGTAACAGTTTAATAATAATCGAAAAAAAATATAAAAACAAAATGTTTGTGATCATATTATTTTGCAAAATAATTTGTAAAACATGAGTTTTCATACAAATACAACAAAATATATTATTGTTTTTAACTTTTAAAAATATTATTTCATGAAGAAATCCTATTTTTAAAAGTTTTTTTCCTAACGATTCACTTAGTGTTTTACTTTTTTATGAAGTCGTTGGTTCATTTTTAGGTTTGCGGTCAGCAAACATTTGATGATAGCAATAATTGTTTTTTTTTTATTCACTTGCCGAATTTAGTAATAAATTTAATAATTTTTTTAACTTATACATGATAGTTGCTAAAACTAAAAATAAATTTTTTTTCAAGATTCTCTCTGAACTGTTAATTTTTTTTCCTTTGAAAAATTAAGATAAATAAATAAATTTTCCCTAATGGTTTTCAAAAGTAAATAACATGTTATACATTTATAATTTAATTAATGAACGTATAATTATATTTTTATTTATTTTATTTAGCAAAAATTAAAGTGGAGCCGTCGTGCAGACCAATACAAAAAGTTGAATGGAAATCGTCAAAATCCGGGTAAATTTTCAAAAGAAGAAAATATATTATGTTCATCACGATTTTGTAGTTATATTAATCGTTATACATTATTGTATCATGATTATTACGTAATAATTTTTGCTGATATGTAATAATTCTCTTCCTTAATGCTTATTTTTTTTATGCTATCCTTGCGCATTTAATTCATATTTTTTCTCACGGTTTTCCGTTATGTGTCGTTACCAGCGAATCGTATTTGATATTTTCTGGAGGGTTGACCACCGATACTGCTGGCCGCGTGCCCAGCATAACGATCATGCACGGGAAAACGACCACCGTTCTCGAAATGGACCACAACATCGTTGATTTTGTTACGCTGTGCGAAAGTCCTTACAACAGTGGTTAGTATAGAAATATATATATATATGTGTTATAAAATATAATTAATAATAGAGACGTACCTTTTGCCCGCGGGTATATGCTGCTACTGCTGATGCTACTACAGCTGCTACTGCTATTCCCCTTTTGACCTAGACATACGTGATTCTATTAATTGATAATCAAAATACTTTGGGACTGAAATGAAATTGATTTATATTTGATGTACACAATTAACTCTGACCTTAAACAGATTCAACGTAGACAAATTTATTTTTTAGTAATATTCATGTACAATTTTATTTGCTTATCCGTAGGATTTGTATATTTTAAGTATTCAAAAGAGTAATTAATGACCGGTTTGTAAGAATAAGATAACATTTAATTACAAAGTTATTTGTTTTAGTGTAACATTAGTTATTTTGAATCGTAACACATAGTTGCGGTGACGTATAATAGTCAAATAAATGTTTTCGTATTTTATTATTAATTATTTTGTTTCGTCGGTAATTTATTATTAAGGTTATCTCGGAAAACTTAATGTTACGAACTTCAAATTAATTTTTCTTATACGAGTTAATTTAAGTGTAAGTTTGAAATTATGTGACTAAATAAGTATCTTTCTATAAAAAGTATAATTATTTAGAATATTACTGATTAAAATTGTATTAACAACGATATAACTATTCAAGTAATTACTTAGGCTAATACGGTATTCATGTGTATGCCTACATTTATTTGTTTTAGAAAATCGATTAGTAAACAAAAGGTAAAACTAAAAACAAAAATAACAATTTTAAAAATTCTAACCATTTTATTTTTTTTATTTTTTTAAATATCAATGTTATTTTAGGTACAAAAAAGGCCAGCTTTTGAATTTTTTTTAATCACGTGTTGAGAACAAAATATTTTCAATTGTCTAAAACCCTATGGATACACGTGTAACATGATACGCCATTTTCGTTTATGAAAATTCCGTAACAAGTCGCTATAAAAGCTTTCCCCTCTCACGTAGCTTCGTCGTTTTTTTTTTTATTGTTAATGAATAGAACTAAAGGTATTTCTTCGTCGTGTGAATTTGACCCACCGTGTCAAAATAATAATTTTATTTACCGTCTCATTGTAACTGTTGTGTTATTTCTCAGACGTTCAAGAACCGTATGCCGTGGCTGTGCTCATGCAAAACGATATGGTGCTAGTCGATCTTCTCAGCCCGGGATATCCGTGTTTCGAAAACCCTCACCCGATGGACATACACGAATCGCCGGTGTCATGTGTCCATTATATCGCCGACTGTCCGTCTGACCTCATACCCGCTTTCTACTCCGTAGGCTCGAGGTCCGCAAACAAACGGACCGGCTTCAGTGAGAACAAATGGCCCATATCCGGCGGCGAGTGGAGCCCCACGTCTTGCAGTTACAACGAGATTATCCTCACCGGGTAAGTTCCTATCGAATAATTATATGTTTCCACGTAATACTATATAATTTACGATTTGATGATTTCGTCGAACATTTTCCAACAAAAAACTATTCATCTACTACGACTTGTCTGTTATGTTTTATAACCATGATTTGTATATATTTGTGTATATGTGTTTTCGTCTGACTGATTTACACGTCCGCCCTGATCTCGAGCCTTATGGATAGGCCAGGAGGAAGAAAATATCCCTCGGAAAAATATTATAACCCTTATAAATTATTTATCTCAGGCCTTAACTCACGGTGCCCACCTTTACTTTAAGTTTGAAGTAAATACTTTAATTACCGTCGAGAAATAAAACCTCCATTCCGTTTTAGTTTTAATCTGATTTCTGTACTATAACATCCCTCAACATAAGCCTGTTTATAAATGTAATTGTCCTTTGATCCATATGTTATTTAGCTCTACCTCTCTAGAAATCACCGTACGTAGACCAAATGCCTATGTACACTGTTCAAACGTTCGCTATACTGCAAATGATAATAAATGCCCCTTAGAAAAAAAATGTTTTGTGTTTACGCCCTTTCTTTTGATATCATAGACAACGATTGTCAGAAATATAATATATTTTTGGTATAAGAATCCTGTTAGGAGTAACATTAATTCAGATACTGTCATAATGCATAATAAATAAAGATAAGTTGAATGTAAAATTGCTACCATGATATTATTGAAAGTCTAACTATAACTATCTTAGCTCAAAAATATTATATTATAATTAAATGTGTAAAGTTTTGGTTTAATTACACTTACAATGCGAAATATTGTCTGAAGCTACAGAAAATCAAGTCCCTCCCCCCTCACTCTCTCACTCATTCTGTGATGACATTTTCACCCCAGTTCTGCTTATAACACACATTGAAAAAACCACATAAAATATTTATGCTTATATTATTAATATTATATCGGTTATCACAGGCACACAGACGGTAGTGTTCGATTTTGGGATGCGAGTGCCGGTAGTCTACAAGTACTGTACAAACTGAAAACTGCCAAAGTGTTCGAAAAAACCCGGTCTAAATCACCGGAATGCAGTGACGAAGATCAGTTCTCCGTACAGCTGTTGTCGTTCTGTCCGGAGAGCAGAAAATTAGCTGTTGCTGGCATCTCGTCCTACGTTGTACTATTCAAATTCCGCAAGCTAGAGTCTACGTTTGAAACCACGGTAATGCGCGCTTACACGTCTTGAAACCACTCGAAAAGTTTAAATATTTATTATAAATTATAAATTAAATATACCTATAGTTTGAATTTATCTTATCACAAAAGAATCTGGTAAAAAATCTCTACTGTCCGCAATTGGATGATGAATCCATCCTAAATTTCAATGTATATTCGTTACCCGATAATTCGATTAGAAAAAAAAAAAGATAAAAATCATATTTATCCATAAATATATCTTATAATTACATTGTACAAAAAAAAAAAAAAAAAAAATAGAAACTGGAACTCATTTATAATATTTAGTTAGATGTATGTTTATTTCATATTATGAAATAAATACGTGTACTAATTTTTATTAAGATGTTTAAACTCACCTAATTCCATTTAAAATTCTATTTCATATGCTTTTGTGTACTTTAATTATTTATTAAAATAAATATAAATAGTATTTTGTAACTAACTAAAAAGCATAAATATACATATGAATTAAATAGTATAGTATATAATATGATGGTTGTTTGAAAAATAAATGCGTACTATTGATATATAGAAAATATTATATGCAAATATACCTGAACAAATATTTGTACGCATATCTCTATACACATCGAATTTCAGCACAATAAATAGTATTATTATATGTTTATATACTGCTTTGATATAGTATGAATCACTTAATAAACCTCATAGGGTCCTGGAAAAATGGTAATTTTAGTCGATGTACGTATTACGTTGGATTTTCGTCGGTTATTGGCTATAACATTTGAGATTGGAAGTGTGTTAAGTATCTTTCGCTGCGCACAGCATTATAAAAGAAGTATGTGTATATATTTCAAGACTTCTGGATAATCATTATTGAGTACATTACTTGAGTGCTTTTAATTTTGAAAAATAATAATTATAAAAAGTAAACAACTTTATTAAATTTATCAGCAGATTCATAATTCTGAATTGAACAAGAAATGTAATTGTTTTATCATTTATTTATTTATTTATTTTTTTATAATTTTTTTTTTTTTTTTGATCATGTACATATATATACAATTCCGATCGGGAGTTAGAGGTATTTTGATCATCACCAAATAAAAACCAATAAATAATATGATAAATAAATTCTATTTGGTACTTTGAAGGAGGTAATTTAACGAATTTTTCAACAATTTTCTTAATAATTGCCAGAAACTGATAAAAAATTATACAGATAACAATTACAGCAAATTTACGGCATACCAATTTTTGACTAGATCGAAAATTTATTTTTATAGTAAATCAAAAAATAATAATCGTAAAGAATTGAAATTTTCTTTGTGTGTACATATATATTATCGTTCGTTTAGATGGTACAACGTTTAAAAGATTCTTTTTTTAAGGTATTTATATATGGTTGAATATTTCATATTTACTTAGTTTTTTTTAAAATTATCGATGAAGTAATATCGGTTTAACACAAATTCTTGATCAACTGATATAAAGTTTATCGTATATATTTCCTACTGATTAAATAAATAAAATAATTTTTATCTATAAAAAAATATTATGAGTTAAACGTTACATTTATGGGCTGAATCCGAATTGGATCCCAAATTTAAAATTACTACACTAGTTGGGTCCTGGATTTTTATAAGTGTACATTAGTTCCTGAATATTTTTTGGTAAATACTATATTATTACTAACATTTTCCTTCCCATTTTAACAGACTTTAACAGACTGTCTATGATCTATTTAGATTTCAGGTATGGTTAAAAATGTTTTTTATAGTTTTTTTTTTGTTTTTTAGTTTTTTTTCCATTAATTTTTATTTATATTATATAATGATTTTATAATTTTTAATATTTTTACCAACACAATTCTAATAATTTATATTTTAATGGAAAAGAAACTAAAAAACAAAAAAAAAACTATAAAAACATTCTTAACTATACCTGTGGTCTAAATAGATCATAGACAGTCCTAAGTCTGTTAAAATGGGAAAGAAAATGTTAGTATAATGTAGCATTTACCAAAAAATATTCAGGACTAGTGTAATATCTAAAATAATTCAGGTTCCAACTAGTGTAGTACCTATAAAAATCCGGGACCCAACTAGTACACTACCTGCGATTAGCCCCTAGTAATCGGAACCCAAATCGGATGCTCCGCATTTATGTAGTCCGAAATTCATTAAATTTAAAATTTTTATACTAAAGATTAAAAAATTAAGCATTACATTTTTCTTATGATTTTCTTTGTAGAAAAAAAAAATTACCAGAAAGTCGCAAAATAGATTTATATGCGTTACAAAATGAAATTTAGATGAAATCGGATATTTAAACTAATTTATATTAGCTATTTATATTGAATTATTTAGTTATCATTTTGGTAGATACTTCATATTTTTGATTTAATTTTATGCCATTTTAACCATTTATCCATCTTTGTATCTTATCTGCCTTAAGTCTCAGCCTTTTAATTTTGTTATTTAATAAAATATGACAAGTAACCATCCAATGTAGGTTACATTATTGTAGATGTTTACGCCGTGCCGTCCTTTATCTATGAAACATAATTATTCAGTGCTATACGAAATTTTAATTTAAATTAAAATAAAATGTTAATAATACCTTTTACATAATTTAATATCATATTATGCATTTATTTTAGAATCGTATGAATAATACATGAGTTTTGCATCGTAATAATAAATACTATAATTTATATAAGTTTTCTATTTAATTCTATTAAACTCTATCAAAAGAAAAGTCCTGCATAATTTCATAATTTTTTTTAAACGAAAATGAAAAAGGTACCTACTAGTTTTTGTTTTTAGTGGTTATAATACAATAAATCTGAATGAAAATAATCGTACTTGTAGTTAAGTATTTGTAATCGGGTTTATCTAAGAATGTTTTTTTTTTTTTTTATTACAAGAGCTTTGAGGTACATTTTCCTGTAAGAAACACAATGCCTCTATAGACGCGTGGCTATACAGTTATGTAATAAATAAAATAATTTTAAAACCAAATTAATTTTATCAAAGAGACCACATTTTTTTTAAACCACATTGTATGTTCAAATTTTTGGTCGTAAGATAATTATTATAATACAAACAAATTAGTTTTCACGTGCATATATGTACTAACGTAAGACATTTTTTTCCCTTTGTTTAAAAGTTTGCATTAAATAATTATTTTGGTTCGTACCATGAAATAATTTTTTAATCCTTAAAAAAATAATAATAATGTATCATCTAGAATATCATGTCTTTCTGTATCATTGAGAAAATAAAATTAACTGAAAATAATTGATTTAATATTGTCTTGAAATAATAATAACAAATTTAATAAAATCAAATATTGTTTTAAAAGTTCGCTGCGTGCGTATATGGCGTAAAAACAATGTTATTCATTGTTAATCGTATTATTATCGTAATAACAATGGAAAACATTTGAAGTGTCTCAACATTTCTATAACAGTTAAGAAATTATTTTAGCACTCGACATGACATTAATTATGTTGACGTATTGTAACTTATAATATAATTTATCATAAACGTAGGTATTATTTATCAAAAATGTGACAAGAAACGTGTACGTCCAATGATCTGACAGACTTGTAAAAGACATTATTAGGATTCATTCTACTTATTTTTATTACGTGAAAAAAAAAATCTATTCTAAAGTTCAAACAAAGAACTGTTCAACAATTACGATGATCGTGTAAACCTAATAGTATATTTGTTCTTTTTTCATTCGTTACATTAACTAATTCTAATTTAAACGTAATAATTTTATGACTCGTCAACCACGAGAAAAACACAAAATCGATATTCTTAGGTTCACTGCGTGTGTATATAAAAAAATATACAAAAATAATACCAATATTTATACCGATGCATAATGTATCTTTCGAATACACCATAAAGTAATTGGTTATAATTTTTAAAATGATAAGTGGTGTTTCTGATTATCACTATGTAATTTTCCCGTATCATATTATATTTTAATGTCATATTTCACGTCGTAAACGAGTGCGATGTTAACCGATTTATTTTTATTTGAAATACCCGATGCGATTCGATATAAGATTTTAAACATATTTCTGTGTAATTGTGTAATTTCGCGTGGTCGAACGACCGTCAACGATCTATCATCAACGATGTTTAGAAAACTTGAGAGAACACCCCCTAAATCATTGAAGAAATCTTCGTGCAGGAAATTGCCTTCCATTTTTACGTTTAATATTTAATTCAAATTCAAGAGTATCCCTTTCTATTGCCGAATATAATATTTATATATGTGTATATTTACGCTCTCTAAGATATAACCCGTCGAGATCATAATACATAATATCAATGGTTTTTTTTTCCGTCCGTGGTGGACAAATTCGAACGTTAATTTTTTACGCCAGACTTCGGCTACTATATAAATGTATAATTTGTACATAATATATAGGGTGCACATTGCAGAATATTAAATACGTGCACACCAGGACCCCGCGGGGTTAGTTCATTAGTCAACGCCGGCACGCCGATTTCATCATTTGCATTGTAAACTTGTACGTATATATACAAACATATCGATCCCCGCCCAGCTTCGTACTGTGTATTTTTTGATACAAATGCACACACACACACACACACACACACATATATGTATGTATTTATTATTTTTTTTTAAAGCAGTTAGGTTAAATTTCCGCGAGATGGCAGCGTGATTCGAGCACGATTTGCGTCAAGTGAACGTAACTATAGTTACGTTATTCTATAGAATAATGGTCGATGCAAAATTGAAAATATTCCGTGTAGGGAGGCCGCCATGCAGAGTTGTATTTTAAGGATATTATTGGAAAGCGGGTGGTGGTGTGATCCCGTATGGAAAAATAAGGGCTGAACTATCGTACAAACAATATGTGTGAGATCTCGCATAATATTACAATCCTTGCAAGTGAGAACCATCTGTACTCTGACTGATTGGTATTGGCGAATTGTTCATACACTTTACACCTTCATACAAAAACAAAAATGTTAATGTATATAATAAGTTATTGATTTTTAAATTATAATTCAGTGGGTACACGCAAAAATAAATTCGTGTTTTCTTTTTTTTTCTCATCTACCGCCAAGTGCGTGATAAAATGCAGTACGTTATAAACGAAAACATTCAATATTTATTTATGTCAACTCTTTTGTAGTTATTATAATATATTTAATTCCATTTTCGGTGTATTATTCAAGGGGTAAAAATAACAAAGAAAAAATTAATAGCCAAGCTTTGAAATTCTCTCAGGGCCTTATCGATTTTTTATTTAAATTTAAAGATTCAATGGTCGATCGTTTATTTTTAACAGTTTCAGAATATATTATGTTGTAGTTTTTTTGTGATTATTCAAGTAACGGAATTCACAGAAAAGGAATATTGTTTGCTGAATAAGTCTATATTATTATAATGGTTCGTAAATAATACTATTTCGCAATGTTTTTGATTTATATATTTTAGGTTTTTATCGACATTTATTTAATTTCATTTGCTATGAATGAAATGCACAAGTGTTTTAAATTTTTGTTGGCCGCGTGTTTGTTACCAGTTTGCGTATAATTTGTTAATTTATGTTGGTATTTTTGCGATGTTGCAGACACTCGAGATACCAATATATTCAGAGAGCCTGGACGAAGCAGCTGAAAGTTCGCCGGAAGAAGCGCCATCGAAACCGGCGGGAACCGGTGATGACACGTCTACCACACTGGTCAAAGTTCGGGCAGGACCGCAAAAGAAACCCCCCGGCTTCCAGGCATGCTTGGCGTGCGTTACACCTTCGGCGAACGGTGAATCGCCCGGTCAGATCACAGCGCTGACGATTAACTCTTCATACGGACTGTAAGTTTGTTCGTCTCTCTCTATTATAGGTCTTTATTCGGCGCCCGGTGGCGGATCGTGTGCGGCTTTAATAGAATCGTTGCTGCACAAAGGGCGTGCCCGAGTTCAAAACTGCGGTCTGACGAAAACTTAAAATTATCTTTGTGGTCTATGGAAACTTACATAGGAAACGGGCTATCATTGGATAGATTCAATGTTTGATATAAAAACTTTTTTACGAACCATACGTTTCGTTTTAAAATTTAAAAGTTTTAAACGCTATATACATATACTTCACTCGGTTTATACACTACAATTAAACTTTAACATCCGGTCATTTCGTGTAGAATTCTATTATCTATAGGATGGGCAAAAACCTCTAGCGCCAGTGAAATGCTCCTAACTCAAATTGTTTGATTGTAAACGCTTACGAATATCATCTATCCTTATCTTTTATATTTTAATAGTTGTACTCGTGACCCGCCACCGAATATCAGCGCTTAGCTTACAAAAATACGCCACCCATTGATCGATTTTACATTTTTTTTTTTTAAACAAAACGGCGCTCGCGTTCGCGATTTCTTTCGTTTTGTTTCAGGCTCGCCTACGGTCTGGACAACGGTATTGTGATAGTAGACTTTATACAAAAATGTGTTCTCCTAAACATCAGCACTGCCGACATGTACGGCAGTGCAGACCCGTACCAAAGGGCTCCCAGGTCGCCGAAAAGAACAACTGCCTTAAGCGAGACTAGCGATGGCGAACGGTGCCGATCTCCCAGCATCGATCAGGTAATATAATTGTATTCTGTTTCTATTCGATTTTTGAATTCGTGCACAATAATAACATACGGTTACGAAATATTTAATACTGAGAGAGCGCACTTTCGGCCGAAACAACGGTGAACGATGATATGTAGAACATGATGTGATAATTATTCGTATTATAATTTTTAATATTTGCTATCCCGTAAGATAACATGTACTATTATTATATATTGTTCGATTTGAACACAATTTCTCAATCGGATGAAAGAACGTGACGGAGGACTCTTTCGTAACGCATAAAACCCTCGTATGTATATATATATTTGTATACGTGAAATATGTTAACGTACTGGGCTTTATGTTGCCGTTTCAAAGTAATTTTCCGACATTTTATACGGAATTAAAATAATACGATATCTTGTATGATATTTTTACTCATAACATCTCATAATTATTTCTTTTTTGCGGCGGTGCATTATTAGTTTTATTTCTTGTATATTTATAACATGGATTCTAGATGAGCAGAAAATCATAACCAAGTGGGCGAAAATTCTATTAAAAAATGTATAATATATAACACCATTTTGACACATTTTACTAAAAAAGAAAACAATTCAAATAGTGTTACCTATCGCTTTTGTGTAGAATTTCGGGCATACGTAAACTGTGCCTAAATGATCTTTTTTTTTTTGTAAACTGCCCCCAAAATTTTATCTATGTTAAAAAGGTATAGTGTAATCTACGCCCTAATTTTTATTTATGTTAAAAAGGTATAGTGTAAACTGCGTCCGACTTATTAACTTATTAAATGTTGACTTATTAAAGTCTCTATGTATGTCACTTTCATTTAGTACAGTCTTGGAATAGAAGTATCCAATAAAATGGTTTAAGTAATGACTATGAAAATAAAAATAGTGATATTTGAAGATGGTTAGTTCTATGTTACGGTTTACCATTTCTAAGTCCAGGAAGTGTATCTGAGTATTTTGTCAATTATTTAATGAAATCAAAGCCTGATGACAAAAGAGTAATACGATTATAAATGAAGAAGCTCAGTATTTACCTGAAGTATGGGCTCAAGCATCAGCAGAGAAAAACTTTAAACACAAATGCATGCGAGTCTTTTCATTCTCACTTTAATTCCAGATTTTATACAACTCATCCAAATATTTTCATGTTCATAGAAAAGTTAAAAGAAATTCAAATAGAAGTATAAATTAAACTAAATAGTATAAATGAATCGTTTAAATTCCAAAACTCTACAGCAAAAAAAAAGAAAAACGCGAAAACTTATAAAATTTAATTAATAAATATAATAGAGGTCAAATTCCAATTGAGGATTATGTATCTCCCATATGTTATTATTTGTAATATTTGTATTTATTTTGCTTTTTAAAATTATATATTTTTTTTTAATTATTCATATTATATGGCTGTAACGAATTGAGTACTTTACCTGGAATTTTACCCGGGCACAGTTTACATATCGCCTATTTACACTTGATAAAAACTCGAGCGGAGTTTACATATCACCTTTTTATACTTATTAAAAATTCGGGCGCAGTTTACAATCGCCGAGAATTTCGCTAACAATCATTTGATCGGGTATTCATAATACTAACAATTGAACTTATTTACTATTTAATTTTAATTTTAAAACAGTTGTTCTACCACATCGTTTTCATTTGTATATTGCATTTACATTTTTCTTCTACGTCAATTGTAATCTCAAATACATACTATTTAAACCATGACAACAATACTGATTTACTAAAAATAAATTGAAGAAAATGGACTTCTCTAATCTATTTACGTACATAATTTTTCTACGTGTTGTTCGTGCTGTTCGATTAAAAATGTATAAATAAAAAAACATTTTAATGTATCTAATATACTGCTTAGAAAATCTTACACAAAAACTATGTGTTACACTATATTCCACCGGTTAATACTATTATAAATATGAAATGGTGCCTTAACGATATGACACATTTATTTAAATAGAAACGTTTTCAAATAGCCCTGTACTCTCCCGTAGCTTGAGTATTGAGTTAATTTATTGGAAATCCTTGTGTTGGCGATAAAAGGAAACTATGCGCGGCCGCAAAAGAAAAAAAAATGTCTCCTTAGTGCTACCATATACAGGCGTGAATACGAATATCACATGACAGACGGTAAATTTATCCCTACCATGATAAATAAATGTACATAACATATAAACATACATACTATATAATACATACGAGCGGCATCGCTACGGCTGTGTTACTTTATACCGAATTATGTACTTAATTGTTGAATATCACAATATCATTCGAACGCCATTCCGATTTACTATACGCGCATTCAAGGATTTCCGTGCGATACATTTACGGTATACAGAGTGAATGCAAAGAGTCTACTATGTGTCGACGGCAGTAATTTCGATGGATTTCCCTTTATTATTATAACCGTAATCGTGTACTTTACACTTGAATGTACGCGAAACGTCATTACACGAGAGCAAACCAGAAACTTGCGTTACCACCAAGGAAACCTTTCGTTCCGAAAGGTATTATCGTCGTGCGAACATATTTTTCCCATCCGTCTTTTCCCCCCCTCCAAGCGTGGGTTTTCGACCTGATATGCGATATAGAAAACATGTTATCCGTGTACGGTAACTTCTACGCCTTGTACACTTGAAGGTAGGACGTTATAGTAGATTTATTATAATGATGAACACAACACACAGTCTTTTTTTTTTAAATTACATTTTTTTTAAACAATTTTTTAATCCATCATCATTAGCGTCAGAACTGTCAATCACGATTGAACATTTTCGATTATCAGGCGTATAGGACTTTGTTTTTACGTACAATTAATTTTACACAATAATATTTAAACGGCGACACGGTGTCACGGGAGACGAGTTAAGAATATAATAATATAACATACATATACATACACCTATATGACATCGATAAGAAGATTATTGTCTAACGAGTTGTGATTAATTCTATTTCGTCTTAACACGCACAAAGTCACGGTGTTTCCTCTAAAACGTGTGTGCACAGGAAGTTTTATTCTCGGGGGTTTGAGAATATAATAATCTGTTTGTCTCGAATGTGACAGTACTACAAACGAGATTTCTCTTGGAAAATATTTTAAGATAACCGCGTATAATATTATACGAAATTCGTAGCGAAATGTGAAATCTAAATGACTGCGGTCCTGTAACATTTTAGTGCATATAACATAAAGAATATTTCATCTATATGTGTATTTGTTATATTTACATACCGATATGTAACTGTACAATCGTTCGTCCATCTTGCTCACAGTCCGAATTACTTGTCTTCTTAACCCGGTACAATTTATATATTATTAAGAAAAATACTATTCATGCGTTTTCGTTTATTTTTCATTTTAAGAACTACTTCGACAGCGTTTCAAAACTTTGTTCACATAAAGTATAAACTCGCTGCTCCGTGCAAGTTTTAATCTGTGATTAGTAAACATAAAAAACCTTCTCCCTTCCGTTTCGTATGTTATGTTTTCCAGAGTTCTATGTCAAGAATAATTTGTTATGGGAGTCTGCGTTGGCTTGAATTAATATTAAAAGTTTCACATCCACCAATATTTTTTCATCTGTCTTTCAGAGAGAAAAAGCATTAATTATTCAAACTTTTTAACTAAATTTTATGTGACACGATCTCTCTTTCTCTCTCTCAAAAATGTGCTCATTAAATATCCACTTTAATTTGTCAAATTCAAAATTAATTTATGTTATAAAAAAATATGCAAATAAAGTTAATTTTCAAAATATTTTCATTCGAGTATTATAACGTTATCGCTCTATACATATCTACTTTTATTTAAATCATGCATCAACTAAATAACAACTTTATCTGTTTACAATTATTTGGCGAGTATGCAATTTTTCGAATGATTTTCTATAGGTAGTCCAAAATTAATGATGCTGATCGACAATATATTATACAAAAACTGCCGATCGTAAAACTTTAATACATTTTTTTTTTCATTTTTTACGAAAAACTATTTTGATAATATATTTATCGTATTGTATTCGTATGTATAATGAGTAATTAAATAGATTTTAATAATAATTATATTTTAACTAACCCCGATAAATAAATAAAAATCCTACCCTCAGTGTTGGTACGTCGTTAAGAAAGTAATTTATCTACTGATAATCATATAAATGCTTTTAAAATCGTTAACTACCCATATAATTATTTCGAATTATGACAAAGGAAGGAAATAAACGTGCGCTGTACTCGTATTTATAGCACGCACTCTGCTCGTTTGATTGTCATTCGATTTACTCGATCATTCGTAATTCGAAATTAAATGTTGCGTACTTCGTCAGTCGTTCGTCTTTTACTTATGCCATCTCCCGGTTGGTCGTTAATACGCAGTTACGACCAACCACGTTTATTCCTAATAAAAAATGAATACATCTTATCCACTTTGTTTTTTATGTTCTATTATTGCCGTGATATTTTATTTCTCGATTAATCACGACGACGAAACGCTTTGTTAAACTTGTTTAAATTTTCATCACAATGAATTTACGACATTTAACATTTTTACTTTACCACTCAAAACATGCTATAATAAACAACAATTCGACTTCTATTTTAGTTAATGTTTTTACCGTTTTATAAAATCTATGACTAAGTTCGCTCCGTATGAGACCGGTGTGGATCTACGAAAACAGCTTCACTTAGGTACACAACGATAACATTAATGACTTGCCCCGTAACGTTCAATAGTTTACCGTTAAACGTGGGAAATTATGTTAATCGATCTTCTTTGTTGTTATCTGTTTGTATCGCAATCCAAATCGACACTCTTAATTGCGGGAGCAATAGCGCACCGTTTATTAGGGGACACGAAGCGAAACGATCAAAATCTAAACCGTGCGTGTTGTCGCGTAAATCGGTGGGGGACTTTGGTATTGGCACCGGATCTAGCGGGGGCGTTTGGGGGACGGTAAATATGCATGTGTACTTGTAACAGAACGCGCGACGCACCCAAGCGCACCTGCATGCCTATGCGTACATGTGTGGACGGACGTGACACGCGTGAGCTGGGCGCGGTTGAAAACTTTCCGACTTTGAAGGGTCTTGAAGACGAAGCCGAGGATTTGGAAGAGATGAGCAAACTGGCGCTGAGCCCGGTGGGCGTGTACTCGACTCAAGTGTCGCCGAACCCCGTGGACCATCCGGATGATGCGACGACCGAGAGGGCGGAAGAGGCGTTAGTGCTGATACCGGCGGAACAGCTGACCGAGTCCTGTGGCGCGCAGCTAGCGGCCACCGCGGAAGAAGCGCCGCCCTCGAAGACTGTTTCGGAACCGCCGACCCCGGCCCCGGAACCTGTGGCGGCCAAAGGAAACGGTCGCAGGACTAGCCATTCGTGGCGAGGCCTGAAGAAGCAGCTGAGCCGCGTCGACCTGAAGCTGAAGAACACGTTCAACGCGACGCCGTCGGCCAAGAAGACGGCCACATTCTACAGCCCAGCTGGCGAACAGGCGGAGAATTACGACGAAACGGCGGCCGTTTGCGGCTCCGGGGCGGCTGGCAGTCTGCCTCAGATCATTACCGAGGTCGACGGCCAAGATCAGCCACAGCAACAGCCGTCGCAACATCACCAGCAACAGCACCACCACCACCAACAACAACAACAACAACAGCCGGCGGACGGGGACAATGATCAGTTGTCCACTTCCGCAGCCACCAGGCCCACCGAGCTCAAGCTTTTCGATCGCGACGGCAAACCAATTAAACCTCCACGGTCTTGCAAAGAGCACCGAAAACGAACGTCTTTAGACAAACAGAGCAACCTGACCACGGTATCGTCGCGGGATGCTCGACTTTTATCCGTACCGAATATCAAATACAGTCAACGGGATCAGAGACATAACCGGTCGAACAATCAAGCTTTCATCAACCTCCTTAAACGACTAAGTAAGTTTAACAAAAAAAAAAAAACGACCGAGTTCAATCGTAACACGTGATTGATGTTAAGACGCTAATCATAGCGCATCTGCATTATGATCGACGTGACCTAAAAATTAATGGTTTTATTTATTATCGTTTTTACACATTTTTTTTTATTAAAACAATACCAAAACTGAGTGATAATAAAATGATTTAATCGATAACAATACATTTCTCTACTTCTTGATTAGGTACTTCCCTCTATCAATTTGAACCGACAGCCGATTCCGAATCCAACCTATTTACACTGGATATACGTATTTTTAGTTTAGCTACACCTGGAAAGCAGTGTAATTGAATATATAAAATATAACAGTTTCTGTTTACGGTATGTCTATTTATATAGTCAGGAACATACTAGTATTTTTTACATAATAGTTTTAACCCACTATATGCATAACAGTGGTAAAATGATAATTTTTTTTTTTAATTATGTAAATAAGTTTCATTATATGTGATTATAAGTAATATCGTTGTTGTTTTGAACTCAGTTATGGTAAAAATGTTTATTATTATTACAAGACCAGTAACCACCTCGAAAGTCATAATTCAGATGACCTATTATCTAGCGGTTATCTACACACACTTCAAACACACAATATTTGCTTGACTTAATATACAATTATCTAATCAATAATTATATATAGTTAATAATAACATTATTGTTAATTAATATCAAGTTAACATGTACCAGTGTCATTATTCATTTGTACACAGACCCTAAGGTGAATTTGTACAGGGTGCTGCATGTTTTTTATGTTTATCATAAATTGGAGTCATTTGAATTATAACCCGGTAACAAATCATACACAATTGTATCATTTGACTAACACAATATGATATAATATTATTTGTTGCATCCACTAATGAACACTTAAGCTGAAAAAAATCAAATGCAAATATAAGCTACTATATAAATAATTGTTTTTACTCTTATTATTATAATTATTATAAAACCAGATTTATATCAAATACAAAGAACTTGTAAATAATTTTAAAAATGTAAACGTTTTTAATATCTTCCGATGTGTCATCGGTCTGTGTAACGTCTGTACAAATAGTCGTTATCGGTCCAATAAAATGTCGATCCTTCGATTCAACCCGTTACTTTTTCTTTTTTTAAATAATAAGTAATTCTTCAACATAAAAAAATAATTCTTCGTTTCCTTGGCTTACAATGGTTGACACCATTATCTCGTCATGAGAGAAGAAGGGTCGTCACTTTTGTATTTTTATTTATAAATACTTTAAATATCATACAGTAATATTTGATAATCTACACAACATTAAATTCATTCTGATGTAATCATTGCCATTTGAAAAATTAATTTTAAAGAAAATAAAAACATAATCAAGAAATAGTTAACTTAAACATAATAGAATATATAAAGCAATTAAAAAATTGGTGATAGTATCGTAATTTAAGTCAGTTGGAAACCCAGTAGATCTGTTTTATTTTGCATCTTATTTTTATAATATATTTTCGAAAAAATATGTTTTATTTTCAATCATATATACAATATGTTGTAATTTAATTGAAAATAATGGCCTGCAATACTTATTATACAAATTAGCGTATTATCTGATGGCTTGCGATGTAATTTTATGTAATATAATATTATTATTTCCTTCGTTATTTTGTTTATTTATATTTTAATTACATTAATTAAAGTTTAAGTAGAAATCTTTAGTGGATTTTTTTTCATATACCATAGTTTCGTTTAAAGCGTTGTGCTTATTTATTAGTAAGATAAAAAATATTTATTTTTATTTTTTATTATTATTACGTATTATCACTTGTGTTCATTTATTGTTATTATTTTAATTGCCTTTATAAATGTCGAACCTGAGTTTGACAGACATGTCGTTTATCATTTACCACAGACATTGACACATCAATGTTTGATCAACAAGACGTTAATGTTGATACATAATTGTAATTTATTATATTGTGCTAGACGAACAATTTCCATTCCATCTATCTTTACAGAAAAACGAAAATAATTTACATGGATGTATATATTATTATGTGTTTGTTTTTTTTCTTGAACTTGTGGGTGTTCTATTTTTTTCTTCTAGAACAGGTTTAGATTGTCGTTTGTTGTGAAGTACATACATGTTTGATATACACACACACACATACACAAAAATATATATGTGTTTGTGTGTGTGTGTGTATGTTTATTTTTAGAAAAATAATTATTTATATATATATATAATGTTAAACATTTTGCTTTTAATTTTAAATTTAAAATGTTACTGTGTGATGTGTTCAAAATTAGTTAGAGAGTAAAATCTTGTATACGTGTTAACTTATTCAACACAATACGTTATTGTTTTAAAAATTTCGTTTCCATATTTATATATATATATATATATATATATACATATATAAATATAACAATACATTAATTTAATATTAGTAGTTTTCATTGTAAATAACATTATTGTGCTCTGTAAATGTTATGTTTCAAGGAATTTAATGAGACGCGAGAGAGCTGCCCCGACCATAAACTTGGTATATATACCTTTAAAATCTCATGTCGTTTTATTTTTTTCATTTATTTTTAATTTTTTTTTTCCGTTTGTTTGGTTCACTAAAAAAATTTCGTTTAAGTTTAACCACTAACAAAATTTACTTATAAAAATTATTGTCGTTGATGCGTATAAATAATGGCAATTTTTTTTTTATCGCATGGGTTATGGAAAGTTTTTTATTTTTTTTTTTTATTTTAAACGTACACATTTGTTGATTGACTAACAGTGTAAATATATAAATTTAAAAAATTGATTAAAAAAAAAAAAAAATAGTGTGTGTATAAGAATTTCTGAATAATACTTTGCCTATCTAAAAAGTATTAAGAATGTCAAAATATGACACACTAACATTACTAACCATATTTTTAATATTTTTTATACATGCAAGTATAAATGGCCCAAGCTGTAATTTTATTCGCTTAAGTTCAGAAATTCTGTACCGTCGTGCTACTACTATAACCGTCAACATTCTATATAGTGGCGTAAACTGGGTGGTGCAAATGTGACACTTGCAACACCGTATCTAAAATGTGGTGGTGCAAAGATACGTTTTTGCACCACCAGAAAATCATTAAAATTTGTATACCTATAATATTATTTTCAAAAGCCAAGAAAATGAGCATATCAAAAACAAAATTTAATTGTTTATTTTATTAATATTATAATAATAAAGGTTTTAATGCTAAAATAATTCAAAATTTATTTGTTATTTAAAGAAATATATGAGTTTACTGGGAAGAATTTTACTTAAGAAATTGGAAATTATAAGTTGAGAATATACCTCTGCACCACTAGAAATTGGACCCAATTTACGCCACTGACTATATTAGCATTTTTAAATTTGCCTAAGCTCATCGTAACAATTATTACAAGTTTTTGACCTAAACTTTCCAAAATGTACAAATTAATAGCTTGGTTAGTATAAGCTCAGTATTCAAAGTATGCAATGTGTCACACGTTATGCATATTACATACATCAAATATTATATTAATGTATAATACAGTAGGTAGATATGAATACTAATTCAGGTCGTCTAAAAACATGGACGATTCGAACGAATGATTTGAATTTATCTAGGCAATATAACAAAATATTGTATATACTTACAATAATACATGTAGAACTCGATTTTCCATTTATGGTTATTTTATTTATACGATTTGAACGTCGTGTTATTTATTTTATAAGCTTTGTCATAAACACAATTTCAACACACAAAACATATCAAACTAAACGTAGACAAATATTTACATTTTTCTTTACTCGGCGCCATACATGTACTGAATACAAGCTTCTGCAATACGGACCATTTTTACTTTTTTTTTTAATGTTTATATTTTTTATGACAGAGTAAAACGAAAATAGATGCGTGATTCTACATGTCACTCGTCGTTTTTTATTTCTATATCTTTCCTAAAAACGTCTTTAAACCTTTTTGCAAATATCAATATCAACAAAACATGACAAAACATGTTATAAAAAAACGGACAAATGTTTAATATGACTGATCTAAAAAAAAAGTAAAAAAAATTACGTTCCGATATCGAACCTACTGTTTTCCAGTATTTATAGAGAAATATAAGGGTAAACATGATCCAAAAAAATTGTCCACCAGCCATTTTTATTTTTGATCGTAAATTAAATCACCTCGTACGTTCGTCAACACATATATACACATACCACCGAGGCGTATATAAATATTCATCACAATCCTATTGCAGATAAAAACAAACTCCGAACACGCTTTTAAGGCATAATAAGATGTTTCTTGTACTCTCCGGGATTTAATACCCTTTTAAAATAGGTAGTAGTAATAATAATAGTTGTAGTAGTATATTATATTATACTACTCCTGTGTACAAAAATGTTTAGTTGTTTTTACCGGACTCTCGTTGGTCGATGAAAGTAAATTACATTAAAATGTATCGCATAGACACACGTATACACACACATATACAAGCACTGCACACATAAATACACATTTACAATGTAAGTATGCATGAGTTACATTGTGTATACGAGTATGTATATACGATAGATATTCAAAGGAAAACCTATTTCGGCGAGTACCTTAATCATAAAAGTAATTTTCAAACAACAAAGGACAAAGGCTCCGAGTGGATAGAATACGCACATCATGTACAAAAGAAATTTTTAAATACTCTATAATTTGCCGTGCTTAAACTAACAATAGTGGTTGTAGACGAAGTACACACATACACACACATGCACATCACCCTGGCAATGATGGAATATTTTCTCTTACATAAACTTCGGGTGGCGTATAATGATATATATATATCATTTTATATATATATATATATCATTATATATATATATATATATATATATATTATGAAATTTAACCTGCAGCGTAACCGAGAGCAATTTAAAATGTGAACAAACATAAATAAATAATGAATAAATT